TAGTAGTAGTAGTAGTAGAAGTAGTAGTAGTAGTAGAAGTAGTAGTAGTAGTAGCAGGAGTAGTAGTAGTAGTAGTAGAAGTAGTAGTAGTAGTAGTAGTAGAAGTAGTAGTAGTAGTAGTAGTAGTAGAAGTAGTAGTAGTAGTAGAAGTAGTAGTAGTAGTAGTAGTAGAAGTAGTAGTAGTAGCAGCAGTTGCTGTTGTGGTGATGGTAGTAACTACGATTGCTCGGGCGGGCCGCCACACAAAATGCATATAGTAACATATCGTCAGTATCGACACCTCCATGCCACATGAACCAGATAATTCTTTTCAAATCATCTACTACCATAGCTTTCATCCGTCTTATCTTAATTTTTCGCAATTAAGAATTGCCAATGATACGGGTAATGGGAACATCCTTTTATTTTCTATCTCCAAATACCAAATATTAATAATGAAATAATTATAAAATCCTATTTAATCTAAAATGCTCGTCACTGCAAGTGTGTACATTTTAAAGGAGCTGGCTTAATTGTTCAATTGTTATCATTATTATTAATGATAATAATGATAATAAGAATAATAAAAATAATAATATTATTGTTAAAAGCGACTGCGGTGAATTATTATTATTACAACAATCACACAGTGCATGCGATCACACGCGTGAATCAATGCACCAAACAATATTGGAAGTGACAGGCGGGTATCTCTTTGCGATCGAACCAGGATACTGCGCCAATAAACTGCGCCAGGCACCTTAACCATTACACCATCGCGCCGTCCAAGTGTTTAAATATTCAATAGAATGGTTGACACTTGCAAATGAAGTATGGGCGGGAAATTTCGCCTTGCGAGCATGCATTCGTCATGTCGTGAAAATTTTAAAAGGGCATTTAAGTTGCAAAAGATGATGAACACTAAAGTGATGATTATCCTGGTTATGGTGACGACGATGATGGTGGTGATGAATATGATAATGATCACGATGATGATGATAATGATGATGATGATGATGATAATGATGACAATAAATAACAGAAGGAATTGTTGATGATGATGATGATGAAGAAGAGTGATGATTATGATGATGATGAT